GGCCGGGGGAAGGTCAATTGGGGGGAAAAAAAAAGGAGACATATGTACTACTATCTATAATACTTAAAACAAAATAAAATTAAAAAATAAAAAATAAACCAGCAGGAAGAATCTTGTTTTTCACATATGTGATAGCCTTTATTTTCTAATACCACCATCCATTCCCCAATTGCCTTAAAAAAAAAAAAGTTTCAAATGGCAAGAATTCCTTCTTTCTTACAGCAGCATGAGTGGGGGGGTGGGGGCAGGAGTAGGGGGGTAATAAGGACACATATGTAATACCTTACTCAATAAAGAAAAAAATAGTTTGATTTTTAGAGAGAGGAAGGGAGAAGAAAGAAACACTAATACGAGAACATAACATCGACTGGCTGCAACCCAGGTATGTGCCCCGACCAGGAATCAAACCAGCAACCTCTTGGTGCACAGACTGACACCCAACCAAGCCACACTGGCTGGGGCCAAAATTGCTTTTAATAATGTTGTTCACAGAAGAGGTCTAGTATTAAAGATAATTTATGGCTAAGAACGTAACCTTTCACCGTGGGCAGTTGGTTCACTTGATTGGAGTCATTCTGCATACCAAAAAGTTGCAGGTTCAATCCCCAGATGAACGTGTGGGAAGCAACCGATTGATGCCCCTTCCTCTCTCTCTAAAAATTAATAAACATAGCCTCAAGTGAGGATGAAAAAAAATAATGCAACCTTTCAAGAGAAGTGTTTGGTGAGAGCCTACAAGCCCAGTGATTCTTTAGCATCTAGTAAGAGTATTCCTGCCCTGGTCAGTGTGGCTCAGTTGGGTAGGGGTGTTGTCCCATGCACCAAAAGGGTGCCAGTTTGATTTCTGGTCAGGGCACATGCCTGAGTTGCAGGCTCAATTGCCCCTTCACACTCATCCTGGTGGGAATGGCATGCAGGAGGCAATCAATGATACACTCTCACATCAATATTTCTCTCTCTCTTCCCCTCTCCCTTCCTCTCTCTCTAAAAATCCATTTTAAACATCTTAAAAAGAAATAGTATTCCTTTTGGGTTTTTTGGGGGAGGATCTATATATACATTTTTTTACAAGGATCTAAAGTGCTAAATATTAATGCTAACAGAAAGAAGCAGTGTCAGAGATAAACAGAAGAAATTATTTTTACTTGACTTTGGTATAAACTCTTCCTGTGATGTTACAGACAAACAGGAGATAGTCAGAGAAGGGGTTTTCATTGGGTCAGAATTTAATGAGACTAATACAACTAGTGCCAAAAACTTTAGAGATTTGGGGCCCAAAGTGAGAGGCCGTGCCTGAAATGCTCTGGCATTTTAAACGCTGAGCTGCTTATGACATGCAAATGAGAAAGAGGTGCTTATTATTTAAACACAGACAGTTGAGTTACACAACTAACCTTCCTTGGGGAGGGAGTTTTTGTTTTGTTTTGTTTTTGACTGGAAAGAATAATGTAGTGGAAGAAAAACATGAGGATTCAGAAGCCCTGGTCTCATCCTCTCTCTACTACCCTATTGCCCTGTGACTATGAGCATATCACCTCAGACTCCTGAATACACAAAGAGATAAGATGAAAAATCTTTAATACCCTTTCCCTTATTTTCACCTTGAGAACAAAGGGAAAATCACAGGAATAAGATGGGATCCCTTGAGGGGTGGGTCCACATCCCATTCTCTCAACAGAAAGGCTGGTTTTCCATTCTCTGACATTCCAAGTATGCAGCACATGTTACTACACAGCAAAAAGATGCCTCCTGGATATGGGTCCTTAGTGTAACCCAAGGAAAAATGACTGATGCTAAAATCTAACAGTCGAAAGGAACACACAAACACATTACTGTTAACAAAGTATCAGAATAAAGGGAAGCATTTTCAAACAGAATATATGAAATCTTAATTATTCTGGGCTTCACAGGTGACTTAACAAGCCTCAAGGTTTCCTTAATCTGCTACAGAAGAAAAATGAAAAAACCCAAAACTACTTGAAAGATTAGAAGCCACTTAAAAAAGGAACACGGTGTACAGGATTTTAATGGACTATAACCAAGACACTTCCTTTGTTGCAAAGAGGTAGTGTGTCAATAGAGGTCAAACAGAAAGTATTTAAAAGTCTGCTTACAACACATCATCCACTTAAACTGTCTTAAAGTTATTCACATGTGAATTAGAGATCCAGGGCTAGATTTAGTCATGTAGTCATGTGTAAACAGAAACTCAGGCCAGGTTTTCCAATGCCTCTTGCAAACAGGCTATTATTTTCTTAAGCATTTTGAGTAGACATGAAGAAAATATTAAAAGATACAAAATTGCACAGGACAAATTCCTGAATTTGCCTATACTATAATCTTGGAAAGTATGCTAGGATGAATGTACAAAATATCTCCCACATTTGTAGAGCAGTTCACAGTTACAGTGCTTTTATGCTTATTGACTGGTCCCCTCTGAAGCATGTAATATGAGGAAACTGAGGAAGGTGAGAAAGCTGAGTTAAGAAGGCTATTTAACCTAGCCAACATCACATGAGACCAAAGCAGGTGGACCAAGACAAGAGGCCTTCTGCCAGATAGAGGTAATTAAGCTACTGTGGATTTTTCAAGAAAAATAAAACCAAAATCACATCCTTTATTTTTAAAAAGGAAATTCTGACGTCAGGGCAGGACCAAAATTATGTCCTAAAGCCTTTATGCAACTTTTACCCAATCTTTTCTCCCACCACAATTGCAAATCATGATTGGTGAAGTATGTACCAGAGAAGAAGGGATCAATTTTTTCAAGTTTTCAATATTAACCTCTATCTTTTTAAAGTCTTTATGGACAAAATTTCTGGTAACATGAAAATGAGCATTTCTTTACCTAATCTACTAAGATTAAATTCACTAGAGTAATGAAAATGGAAACTAGATAAGGTAGCAAGAAATGAGTTAACAGTGGAGAAAAAAAGACCACAGAAGTGGTAGATGATTCATGAAGAAATATTCCCACTAGAGAAAATTAACCTACTTATTTTAATGGTTCAGAAACGTATTCATAAAAAGAAAAGTATTTTTAAATTTTAATGATTCATAAAAAGAACATACTTTAAAAGCAATTCTCACTTTAACTTGTCTACAGCCAATAAACCAAGCTAATGAAGTATAACTGACCCTTGAACAATGAGGGGGTAGGGGTACCAACCTTCCACCCCATGCATAGTCAAAAATCCACGTATAATTTTTGACTCCACAAAAACTGAACTACTAATAGCCTACTGCTGACTGGAAGCCTTATCAATAACACAAACAGTCAATTAGCACATATTCTGTATGTTATATGCATTATATACTTAGTCTTATAATAAAGTAAGCCCCCAGAGGAATGAAAATGTTATAAAGAAAATACATTTACAGTATTTATTGGGAAAAAAATGCATATAAGTGGACCAACAAGTTGTTCAAGAACCAAGTGTAGTTCTAAGAGATTCTAGGCTGGAGGCACTAGTTCTAATAAATGTTTAATCTTTACATTCCCTTCTAACAAAACTTAAGCTACCATGGGAATACCATGCAACTTTCTCACCAACTGCCTTTAACTCAAAATAGAAGCCTAAGTCCTCATTTTCAACAAGTAGTACTATATCCAAAGATACCCTACACATCTTTGAGCTTAACTACTTGCCTCCTACACCAAAAAAATGGGCGCACAACAAACAAAAAAACATATTGCTGAGGCTTGGATCCCAGAGGGCAGCACTACTGCGTTTCATTTATATTGGTGGGTCATCGGCTTTTGTGAGAGCTGAACTCCTCTGATAACCTGATGAAAGCTAGGAATGCCCTCTCCAGGAGAATCTCATATATTCAATCTTTTGCATATGATTTCAGGAGCTCACAGACCATGGAAACCCAAGTTAAGAATTTTTAATTTATACCCTTTTAAAAGTATAGAAAGAAGGAAAAAATAGATCATGTCTCCAATCTAGTCACCTTTAATCAAGACAATTTCTCTGGACACTTGATTAAATTCCATCATACTACAATGAAGCCATAGCTGACTTACTTAAAAATTATACTTTTAATGAGGTATATATATTGAATGGAAATTCACTGTACTTGCCTTACACTTCCTGATCTGAACAATGGAATCACCAGTAAAGCCTGAATTATCAAGACTATCTCTTAAAAACTTGAATCAAATACAGTCTCTGCTTACTTTGCTATCCAGGATGTCTAACTGTAGCTCAAGTTAAAGCCTAGTCTAGGTGAGCCAAGCCACAGCCAACCAGCTGAGGAATGAAGGATTTGCTGGTTCAACCCTTACCTGTTGCTATGCTTGGACTTTTCTCGGTCCTTCTCCTTGTCCTTCTTGTGCTCTTTGTGCCGGTGTTCCCGATCTTTGTGTTTATCTTTGTGTTTATGAGAATCTGCAACCATAAGAGATGAGTCAGTTAAGAGGAGTCATGAGTTATCTCCTGCCTGCCCACCTTGACAGGCCAGTCAAGAAGACACCCAGCTAGAGTGGCTCAGTGGGTTGAGCTTCATCCTGTGCACTGAAAGGTTCCATCCCTGTTCAGGGCACGTATGGAAGGCAACTGATCAATGTTTTTCTCTCACACCAATGTTTCTTCCCCCCACCCCCTTTCCTTTCTCTAAGCATGTCCTCGGGTGAGGATTAAAAAAAAAAAAAAAGCACAGCCCTAGCCAGTTTGGCTCAGTGGATAGAGTGTGGGACTGTGGAATGAGGGGTCCCGGGTTTGATTCCAGTTAAGGGCACATGCCCAAGTTGTGGACTCTATCCCCAGTGGTGTGCAGGAGGCAGCCAATCAATGATTCTTTCTCATCATTAATGTTTCTATCTCTCTCTTTCTCTCTCCCTTCCTCTCTGAAATCAATCAATATATATATATATATATTTTTAAAAAGCACAATGACAAGATTCTAATGGCATTTGTAACACGTCTTGGTTTTAGAGGCAGGGTAATGGGAGGCCTTGTCTGGGCTGCTTTGTGAAATTTTCCTTGGAAGATTCCATTAAATGATGAGTATTTTCTCATGTGTTTATTGGCCACTCATATATCTTCTTTAATGTAGTATATCTTCAAATCTCTCCCCCATTTTAAAAATATTTGTCTTATTACTGAGTTGTAAGAGTTCTTTATACATTCTGGATTACGACTTATTTGGTTAGCTATATATACTGTGAATAGGTTTTTTCTAAGAGTTTTACAGAGGTAAGGGACACACAGGGCACATTTTTTAATCTATAAAGATACCCAGTTGCTCTTTCACCATTTTTTGAAAAGACAGCCCTTTCCCCATTGAATTGCCTTGACCTCTTTAATGAAAATGAAGTGACCATATAATCACAGGCCTATTTCTCAACTATATCCTATCTTTACACAGACACTATCTACTACTATAGCTTCACAGTAAGATTCTTGTTCATAGGAAGTTTTGAAATCAGATAATATTAAGTACTTTAGCTTTATTCTTTTAAAAGTAATTTTGGCTATTCTATGTCTTCTGCATTTCCATATAAGTTTTAGATTCATTTTGTCAATTTCTTTTAAAAAAAGAAAAGGCCAGCTGGGAACTGTGTTCATAGGACAATTTGGAAACACTCTCATGTCTTTTAATCCATGAACAGGGTTCTCTCTCTCCACTTATTTAAGTCAGTAAATCTCAAAATTATAGGGTGTATCAGAATTAATCCAAGAGCCTACTAAAAATGAGGTTCATTGGGGTCAGGTCACCCCAAAGTTGAATATTTATCAATTGGAAGTTTATGTACGTAACACATGTGTGGCGATTTTAAAATATGTTTAACAGATTCTTTGATACTCTTCCTTTCAATAGGTGTAGCCTAATTTCCTTCGAGTAGACTAGACTTGAGATTCACTCCTAAAAAAACAGAATAAAATGGAAATGTTGGTATGTAACTTCTGACACCAGGTCATAGAAGACACTGGATTTTTCTTCTTGCTCTGAGGGAAGCCAGCTGCCATATTGTTACACTTAAGCAGCCTATGGAGAAGCCCACATGGCGAGGACTTGAAACTTCTGACAAGAGCCATGTGGGTGAACCATCTTGGAGTAGGCCACCCAGTCTCAGTTAAACCTTTAGATAACTGCAACCCCACAAACACTCTGAGCTGAACCACCCAGCTAAGCTGCTCCTGGATTCCTGGCTCACAGAAACTGTGTGAGAAAACAAGCGTTTGTTGTTTTAAGCTGCTAAATTTTGAGGTAGCATATTTCGTAGGAATAGATAACTAATAATGGATAGGCAATGTATGTGTTCATCCCATTCCTGGCTCCCAAAATGTGTCAAAAGAAGCTACATTGGGAATAATCCACTAAGTATTCTGTGCCAGGCCCTATGGGGACAGAAATTTACATGATCGTACCCTTACCTGTAAGAATTTCTCATCCCACAGAGATGGGAAGAATAAAATGTTATGGTATCAGAAGCAGGACTTGAACGCAATCCTCCATTCAATACACACAGAAGACTCCAACTTCTAAAAGTCTCAAGTCTAAAACTTTAAAATGCTGAGTCAATCAATGTACCAAGTTGGTGGCCCCCAATACCTGACAGTAATAAAAACCCGCAATTACTTCTGCTCTAAACTAAGCACTTATGGGTAAAATCATAATAATGACAAAACATGCCTCCAGCAGTACAACCTGGAATGATGTCTGTATTGTTTGATTTTGTTTATGGGCCAGATTTAGCAAACAGGAAACAGAATATTATGATCTGCTATTATGGTTCAAGAGTATGGCAGGGATATATCTTTTTCTAATTACTCTTTTGTACAATTCAACAAACACAAAAACAAACTTGTAAGAAAGATTAGAAGACAGATGCCAAAATGTTAAAAGTAGTTATCTTTGGGTAGTGAATTTCTGAGCAAGTTGATTTTTGGTATATACTTTGTCTTCTTTTCCAATCTTTTCCCCATGTGAATCACTTTTATAATAAAAAAGTTATTTTTAAAACTACCAAGCTATAATTTTTTACTTTGACAAGTATAGTTTAATTCACTAAAAAGCACTAAATTTAAAGAATAAGGAAATTAAATAAAAAATAAATTGAAAGTAATTCTAGGTAGGTTTCAAATACCCACAAGTAAAAAAAAAAAAAAAATCGGAGTGGGGAAGAGATACAGAGATGGATAAAACAAGATTGGAAAAAGGTTGAAAGTTATTGAAGTGGGCAGATATGATACACAGGAGTTCATTACTCTCTCTACTGCCATATATGCTTGAAACTTTTCATAATAAAAAGTTTAACCTTCTTCCCTTCTAATCTGGTTTTTTTTTTTTTCATTATATAAGGGAACATCAAGGAGAAGACTAGCAAAGAGATAATTTGTATTAAGGAGTAGAAAAAGATACAATTTGATAGATAAAATTAACCCAAGAGTCAGAGTGTCCTACACTAAGGATAACAAGGAGCCACTTCAAGCAGAAAAGGAAACACACACACACACACACACACACACACACACACACACACACACACAATAAAAGCCATACTTAAGAAAGATTAATTGGAGGACAGTGTGGGTAGAAAGGTAAAAGCAGAGTAACTAGCTGATGATTTTTGAAGAAGTCTAGAAAAAAATGAGAGCAGCAGGGTTGCGAAGGAAGGAAGAAATGTAAAAAAAAAAAAAAAAAAGCATGTTAAGGAAACTGGAATTAGAACTCAATTTCAGGAACTCACTGGCCATGTGTAATAAATAAATCCAGAAGAGTCAAACGCTCAAAGACTTTGGGTCCCTGTAATTAGGAGAACAAAGTGGCTTTGAAGATGAAGACACAGGAAAGTCGTGCAGACAAAAGGTGGGGAAAAAGAAAAAGACTGGAGAAATAATGCAACTAACTGAAGTCATATTGTATTTAAAGTAACAGTGGGACATCTAACTAAACATGTTGGTCAGAAGAGAAGCCAGTAGGTGAAAAAGTGAAGCCAATAGGGCATATGGATCTATATCCCTCATGGTGAAAATATTTGTAGACAGCTTACTAATGGCCTTGAAGATTACTTTTAGTACATACCCTTTCCCCTTAACTGGAATTCATCTAAGAATAGATACTGTTAAAATGTTTTGGAGAAAGGACCTTGCCATTTCAAGTATCAGTTAAATGCAAAAAGAACTATACTGAACTTGACTGACAGATTTAGAAATGAAAGATGAAAACCACTGTATATTAAATCACCAGGAAACCTCATTCATTATGAATTCAGGTCACCTAATAACAATTGTTTGAAATCCTAGCATTCAAAAATTTGAGATGAATTTATGGGAGGAAGACCCCCTGAAATAAGGCAGTCTTGAGAAGACAGCGGACAGGTAACAACTAATTCCTTTCATTCTAACTTAACTGGATAAGTGAGTTACTCCATAATGAAAAGAGAGAATAGGAATCAACATCTTTTGTTGTTGTTACCTAAAGCATTCTTCGAGACTAACAAAGATTTTAAGTAGAGATTTCCAAATGACAAAAGAGGAAAGTATCAATAAGTGTCTTCTCTGAGTGCTCGAACAGTTGCTGGCTAGCATTATGCAAGCACTTGGTTAACATGAAAAAGAAAAGGAAACCTTTTACTACTCAATTCAGAATTATATTCTGAGGTCTAATTCCATTTACAACCATTTAAAATATATTCTTAAATCCAAAGCTCCCTGCAAAAGATTTATCAGACGTGAACTCTGCCCTCAATGAATTTACAATCCAAGAAGGTCCTAATTAAGGTGGAACCCAAACAGCCAGGGCCCAAGGCATGCAAGAGAAAAAGGGCACTAATATAGGTGCCAGACCATGCTAGAGTATTTAACAAACATCGTCCCACATTCAATTTCCTTACCAGTCTCATGATAAGGAAATATCACCCCCATTTTACAAACGGTACTAGTAATAGTTGTCCCTTATTTAGTGTGTACTCTGCAAAAGGTAGTAGTACACTTTCGTATTACCTCTAGTTTCACAACTCTCTGGGTGGTACCAATTTCATCAAATCTAAGACACAGTTTTGCCTTTTAACATCTCTGAAAAGGTGCATGTAGTTCATATAATCCCCATGGAGGGGGAATTTAACAGTATCTAAAAAAACCAAAAACCTAATTTAGTCCTAGCCGGTTTTGCTCAGTAGATAGAGCACTGGCTTGCAGACTAAAGGGGGGGAGGGGTTAATTCTAGTCAAGGGCACGTGCCTTAGTTGCAGGCTCCTCCCCAGCCTGGGCCCTGGTGGGGGGTGGGGGTGGGGGGCGCGTGCAGGAGGCAACCAATCAATGTGTTTCTCTCACACTGATGTTTCTCTCTGTCTTTCCCTCTCTCTTCCACTCTCCCTAAAAAAAATCAATGGAAAAATATCCTCGGGTGAGAATTAACCAAAATAATAATAATAATAATAATA